TGACCCGAACAAGAACGAGATGAGGGAGCTCGAGCCATCTCTCCAGATGAGCTAGGCCAAGAGATATGCCTTGTCTCCTTTTCACCGTAGATCCCCCAAGGTGTCTCTCAGTATTTTATCTGGGATTGAAGAACTCCAGCACAGAGGGTACCAGCCAGCCAGAGAGGCCTGGACCCACCCTGCCAAGGCCTCTGTGGGTTCAGCCAGCGGGAGCAGCACTAGGTCAGCTTCACCAACCACCTGGGAAAGAAAATTGGAAGGAAGAATGGTCGGTCCTTCTCCTTAAAGGGAGAAGCCCAGCCTTCTCCATGCTCTAGAGAAGAGCCTCACTGCCTTTTCATCCACTCACTGCCATGGTGGATGAGAAACTGTCCTGTTGGGAGTTAGGAGAACAGCACCCCTCATCCTTGGAGTGGAAAGTGAGGGGACAGAGAAGAACCCCCTTTCAGGAGAAGAGCTGCCTTCTCCTGAAAGCCATCACCATCCCTCAATCACTTAGACCACGACTGTCACCCTTGACTGGCCCCGTTCATTCTCCACATTCAGGTCATTACCCCTCCTCTCCATGGAGCCTGCTGCGTGCTGGGTCTGAGCTTACCCGCACTGCTGCAACTGGTCTCACTGGCCTCCCCACTGGCACTGGTGTAGCTTCTGTTCTATTGTCTACTGATGCCAGGATGGTCTTTGACCTCACTGCGTCTTGCAGTGGTTGCACCACCTCCAGAGCCTGGAAGATTCTCCGGGGTCAGTCCAGTCCTCACTCTAGCCTCGTCTCCCATTGCAGCCCCACCACCAGGGTCTGTGTGTGCAGGCGTGTGCCCTGCTCCCCTCAGCCCGTCTCATCTTTGAGGGTCCTGGCTGCACCCTGCATTTTGTGACCCCGTGCCTCTGTTTACCCTTTTCCATCTTCCTGGATATTGTCATCTCCTTCCTGCTCCTTTATATTCAGACTCCTGGCCGTCCTTAAAGATTCAGCTCCCCCATTACCTCCTCAAGAAAGTCCCTCCCTGCCTGGGAACTGACCACTTCTTCCTCTGCCTCCTCTCTCCTACGTACTGAATATTTATCCGTGTTAGTCGTGTGGCCTAAACACTGTATTATACTTATTTGTTTACACTTGTCTTTCAACTACACAGGGAGCTCCCTGGGGAAAGGGATCATGTTTTATTCATTTTTTTAATTCCTAGCTTGTAAAACAAAACTTGGCATGCATTCTCGTGTCCTCAAAAAAAGAGGGGAAGGAGGGTTTGTACGAATGAGTGTGAATGTGCTTTTAAACTATAAATTGATATACTCGAACAAATGGAAGTTATTGTAGCAACCACAGCACCCCGATGCAATACATGGCATTTGGAAGGCAGGTTTTTGGATAGATGACTGCATTCTAGACAAGGTGGAGGGGTTGGAGGAACAGAAAGAAGATGCTTCCTCTAAAATGAAGACAAAAAAATCTTAAATGTCTTAAATGGGAGTTATAGTAAAAGACTTAGAATTTGGAACTGCTAACAAGAGAAATTAGACCAAAAAGAGTAAACCGTAAAAATCGCTAGGTGGAATTTTAAAATGTGAGCAGGATTTAGAAACCAAACCCTTTTGAATTTGAATCTGAATTTGAATTCTATCCCAGTTTCTTAAGCATCTCTGCTGGATGGTTATCTAGACCAGGGCCTCTCAAACTATCAATCATGATGGGTGTGTGTGCGTGTGTGTGTGTGTGTGTGTGTGTGTGTGTGTGTTTGTGTGTGTGTGTTTTCCAGTCAGTCACACATTGGCACTTTTGTAAAATACAATAAAAAAAAAAGAATTACTAGACAAATGAAACAGAAGCAATCGGACACACAAATACAAGTCCAAATTTGCCACTAGATTCAACAGATCTCGTTCTGTTAAAATGCTGTAAAAGTTTCTATAATACATGCTTACTCTTAATGTATGTACTTAACTTCTTGCCGGTCAGTAACCAGTGGTTTGCAAACTGGCTCCTGTCCATTTACCACATTCCAAATAGCACCAAATTAGACTCTAGTTGGATATTTTCAATAACAAGGAGTGGAAATGTTAATGAAAAGAGGAAACTTATGTACAAATCTTACCATAAACTAAAAATTTAGTTTTCACTTACAGTTGACATACAATATATTAGTTTCTGGTGTACAATGTAGCGATTAGACGTTCATATACCTTCGAAGTGCTCACCCTGATATGTCTAGCACCCATTTGACGTGGTGGAGATCTTAAGGACATAAACTGATAAATACTTTAAGGCAAAACTTGAAATTATATAAGAAAGTTATTCAGATGGTGAAAAGTTCTTTTTTGCATGTGTATCCTCCCCCCGCCCCCAAGCAGAGTGAATTCTTGGTCCTCTTGGAGAATCATTGTTTTCAGTGCAAAAGTTTTGAATTGACCCTTCGTTGGTAGCAGTAGGGTAGCCATAGGCACTGAGATCAAGCCAATAAAATTAATAAGCAGGATGACAGGCTCTAATAAATTTCATTGGTGTCTTTACTCTATCATTTGAGCACAGAATGAACTGTTATTACCACTGTACTTCAGACCTCTCATTTTGGCTTGAGATGATTACAGCTGCTAATGCAGAGCATGCTACAGTAGTTTTCAGTAACTGGTTTAGGGTTAAAGTATCATATTTAAAACAAGACTTAATTATGATCGGTGAGGGGGCGGGGGACAAGTTGTGGCCATATGACTTTGATCTGTGTTCTAGAGTGGCCTGCAGAAATCTGGACTCCTGACGATGTGTTTTCTCAACAATTTCAGGAAATAAGCAGCTTTTAAAATCTGGTTTCTCTACACAGAGTCTGGGGTTTTGAAACGCATTCAGTTGGCAATGGGCCATCACTTGTTGGACCTGGGCCATGGTTCCTTGTCTCTCAGCCCAGATGAAATTCTTCAAGCCCCCGTAACTCAATCTTTGCCTCACGTGAAGAATTTAGTTTCAGGTTTCGGCAAAGAAGAAACCTTCACACTTGGAGTGAGAAAAGGGGTTGTTCGTTTTCTTGTTAAAGCCCATTGCCGTCAGCCAGGTGAATTTGGCATGCGAACATCATCATCTCTGTCTCTCCCTTCATCCTGCTGTTTGGTGCAGGTCATGCCCATCCAATCCTTCTGGTTTACTTTGTAATATCACACCCGGCCATATCCTTGTATTCCGCCTGTTTAATTTTGGGTATGATACATCCTTTTAAAGTGTTAATCAAAATATTAAGCAACTATCAAATATAAGCAGTCAGTGCAAGTTAAATATTAGCCCACCCTTTCGTACCATGTGTAAACTTATGAAAATATCAATGAATGCATGTCTTTTGTTGTTGTTGTTTTGAGGAAGTGTAGGTTAGGTTTTACATGTTCAAAATGTACTATCAATTCTAACTTTTTTTATTAATATTTCTTATTTGGGCACTACCTGTGTATCCTATGCAGATACTTAAGCTCCTTGTAATTGTTCCATTCCTAAAAGCTGGGAAACTGGGTCTTGCTCTTGTGGAATTTTAACGTCAACTACCCGTAAACCTTGTGAATCAAATTTCTTATGGAGATAACCACTTTTTTAAGAAGAAAAGATGTTACCACAAAGCTTATTTTTTTTAAACATTATGAATTTTGGTTCATGCATGACAATGATTTTAATATTTGAAACACTAGAATGGAAAGTTGTTTGTTGCCATCCATGAACTGGGCTACTGAGAAAGTTAGTGATGAAACCCTGCCTGTTTTTCCTCCACAGAGCATAAAGCGCATGAGAGAATGAATGTGGTTTACTAAAAGAGAAAAAGCAATGACCTGATGGTTCTTAAATTTCAGTTTCGCCTGTCTCAATCCTATTGTGTTTGCGATTGGACTTTGGAATGAGGTCGTAGTGCTGGGATTTTCATGGTCTGGCTGACTTTCACAGGGTTACTTTCTGTAAATACTGCAGAACGCCCTGCGACGTTTGGTAGAGGGCCATAGGACATTGTTCAGCCCAGGGCAGGGGATTGTATTTATTTTTCATTTTACGTTATTTCAGCTGTTTTTACTTTTTTCTTTATTATCTTGCCTCCTACAGGGTTCTTTTTTCAAGCATTGCTGGGGGAGGGGGGAATTTTCAAGTTACGAACTTTTTAGCACACAGGGGTGGAAAGCAGTTTCTCCTCTCTCAGCAGTTCAAATAGCTTCTAAACCACGTACATTTAACCCACTGTGGATCTGAGCCCCAATTAGCTTTGTTTGGGAGTTGTTTCTGTGTTAAAACATTTAAATCATTTCAAAGTTTTCCATGGCTCATTACCATAGCCTATTAGATAGCATAAATGAGTTATGTGTTTGTTTTTTTAAAATCAATTGGTATTTGTAAAAAAAATTAGTTCTGTACTTTAACAACTGATAGCTTTCTGACTTCAAGTCTATATTTAAAATAATTCTTTCAGTTTCCAGTTTTATTGAGATATAATCAACATGTAACATTGTGTTAGTTTAAGGTGTACAGAATAATGATTACACACACACACACACACACACACACACACACACACAGTACAATGATTACCACAATAAGTTTAGTTAACATCCATCATTTCACATAGTTACAATTTTTTTCTCGTCATGAGAAACTAAGATGAATATTTCTGGTTTTCCACTATATGAATTTTAGAGTATCTTTTATCATATAAATCAGTCATGGAAATAGCAGAAGATGCTATCATGCCAAAACCCTGATATTGGTAACTGTGGTCATTATATTTTCCATCTAGGGAAGCTTTAATACCTTTGTGGGGGGAGGGGAGTAGATAATTAATGTATAATACACTCCCTTTGCTCAAAATCCCCATTCTATAAATACTATCGTCATTTATAAAAGATTCTGTATTCTTATAGCAGAGCTAATGAACACATTAGTGTAATAGTTACTCAAAACTGATATGAAAGCTATACCTTGCATAACTCAAGATGACTTGGAGGAGGAAGCAGTGTTTAAGACATCTTTCTCATTGATTTCACAGGATTACCTTGACTGCATCAGGGACCAAACGAAACTTCCTCTGGGGACAGAAGAACGATCAGCCCTTTTTGGAAATATACGGGATATCTACCACTTCAATAGGTAAGTGAATACTCATAAGATTGTTCTCATATAGGAACATTATGAATTTCTCTCAAAGGAATGTGGCCTAGGAAAACTTTACCTGTAATACCTGATTTGACTTCATAAATTTTTGTGGGCTCTCACACCATGAAGCCTTCCACCTGGAAGCGTTATTGTTTGCATAGGAGTCACATTTATTGAATATCCCATCCTGCTCCCTCCTGCTGGCTCAAAGGAGAGACCTATTTGTCCTGACAGAGCAGTGACATCTTTCTTCCACGACACAATACAAACAGGGCATCTGAAAATACAGGCTAGTGGCTTAAGTCTGCAGCACCCCCACTTTCAATGGATTTTCTGAAAATTTTCTTCTGCCTCGGAAGTGGGCAGGACACAGTAAACACACAATAAGTACTTTAAGTCATATGTGTATTAATTCAGATGAGTTAATTAAAATTAAAAATGATTAATTTGATTCAAACATGTGTACCTACTTGTAGCAGGCACTGGCCTTAGAAAATTGCCCAAACAAGACAGACAGGGAGCTGAAGGGGATGGGGCAAGCGAATCAGTTATTGTAACAAAGTGTGATACATTTTGGAAGACCAGGTCGTAGGCAGGTAAGCTCACAGACTCGGGTTTCCAGCATGTCTGGGTTTGCATCTCCACTGAGCCATGTAGATGCCCTTTGGTGGGTCTTTAACTGGAGTAGAATAACTAACTCCCTCACTTCAAGTCTCTGCACAAATCTTCCTTTTTCAGTGACACTTAATGGGCACCCACACACACACCTTACCTGTTCTGCTCTTTTTCTCCTGGCATGGAGCAATTTCTAGGAAACAATACGTTTGACGGTTGGGTTTGTCCCTCCACTCACAGAATACTCCCCAAGGACAGGGATCACTCACTCTGTTTTGTTACTTACTACCCAAGTGCCCACAATAGTGGCTGACCCATAGGAGGCGTCAGAACTTTTGTGGAATGAACGAATGAATGAATGAATGAATGAATACAATATCTACCTCATATGGTTATTGTAAAGCTTCATTGAGTTGAACCACCTAAAGTGCCTAGCTCAATGCCAGCACAGAGTCAACACCAAAATATTAACCAGTGGTGACATTGATTTTGTTATAGTGAAACCCCATTAGGAAGTTCTACAGTGTGCTGTCATTGTGTGACTCAGCCACAGTGCACATTTTAAATCCTCCCCACCTGTGCATACTGAAATTGGTATGGGTGAGCTCCTGGCAGGCAGCGTCCAGCTCTCCTTTACCACCTTTGAGTCCCTAATCTCTAGCACAAGCTGGGCCACTGGGAGACATGTTTGTTGAATTGCATCAACCCATCCCTCAATTTCGAAAGCCTAGGATGTCAAAAATGCCAGTGTTGCCACATGTCTCTCATTTGCTTCAGTAGACTGTGAAAACCAGTTTGCATGTTCCAAGACGGTGGTTCTCATCCTGGGCTACACACTGGAATCACCTGGGAAGCTTTTAAAAAACTATTTGCTGATCCTGACCCCAGAAATTCTGCTTAATTGGCCTGAGGTGGGGCCAGGCCGACAGGATTGTTTAAAAGGTCCACAGATGTTTGTAATGTGCAGCCATGGTTGAGAAACACTGTCTAGATCAAATAAACACAATAATAAGAAAATAGAGAAAGGACATAGAAAAGCTGAGTTGGGGAATTTAGAGTCCGCATGTTCATTCACAATGACTTGGTTTAGAGCAGACCCCCATTTAGCAGTCACTGATGATAAAACCCTTCCAGTCCCTGAGTGGCCTCTCCTTCCAGAACCCACGAGTGGCACTGTGACCCCTGAGGAGGGCAAGGCCAAGGTGCTGGGAGGTCCCTGGCCCACGTTTTCTGGTGGTTTGGCTGTAAGCTGCTGGTCATGACTGTTTATCTAGCACTTACTTCATGCTGGAGGGAGGGAAGCCATAGAGCTTCATGGGTATGATCAGCTTAAATGCCTCATCCGGGCTTCTCTGAATCCAAACCCCAGGCGTTTAGCCACACTCCCTCCTGCCAGAGTGCGGCCCTGCTCTTCAAGCCGCGGTTTGTGACATTGTGGCACGCTCCAGGAAGGGTTCTGTACTCCCTGGAGTTCAAATCTTCTTGAGTCTCCTCACTTAAAGAAGAATGAAGTAGCCGCCTAGGCCAACAAGAAGGAGCCTTGGCAGTGGAGCCCAGTCTGCAGCGGCTGGAAGACTGGAAGACCTTTATGTGCCTGAATGCGTTCTGTGTTCCTTTCTCTTTGGTATTCTCTGAACGAGGAAGTGAGACACATCTGAAATAATCTGGGTCACAGTGGATGAGTCACTGATGATGGTGTGTGAGGCGTCAGTGTAGTGACACAATTATATGTGACCGTGTCCTCGCCTGTTCCTTTAGTAGATCACATTTGTATATCCTGCACATGCTTTATCTGATGGAGTCCTCCTATCAGCTCTCTGAGGCAGAGGGGTGCCCGTCTTACAGACGGTATACACATCTGACAGACAAGGAATCAATCACGCAGTGTAGATAGTTCTGTGCTCAGGGCATAGAGCTAGAGATCCAACCTAGCCGATTTTGAATACCTAGTTTTGTCAAATCTCTATCGGTAATATTATTCTATTATTTTTATTTCATTATTATTATTTTCAAGAATACCGTCTTGTTAAACTTTCACAGTTAAATTGTCTGTACTATTTTGTCCCTATTTGTTTTTCTTTCCTTTCTCTTAAATCTGGAGTCTAAATTCAGAGCTCAAGGGCCTTTGCCATTAGATTTGGTTACATAAGAATGTTGATGTGACTTTTTATGTTAATGCCTCTTATGAATCCTTTATTACATACACCTACATCAGTTGATTTCAAAGATACAACTGTCTGGCAAGTCCGTGGTTGGGGCTTGAAATAATTTTAAAGTTTCTATTATTAGTTCAGGTCCAGGTTTTTCAACATATTATTGTGATCAACTAAGCAAGATTTAAATCTCTAAAATTCAAGAGAGCAAAAAGGAAATGGTTTTATGCTAGCCTGAAAAATTCAGCTGACCAGATTTGTTTTTCAGGAAGTATTTCCAAAATACAGAAAAGCATAGACTAATACAATAAACACCCATGAACCACTTCCACCCTATCGAAGCCTTTCTTTGTGCCACAGTTGCTTTAGAAATTATTTGAAGCATAAAGACGTTACAAATGATGGTGAAGCCCGTATGTACTCCTCCCAGCTGCACTTCACGGGGGAGAAGGGCAAGCAGACGTGCTGGTAAACTAGCTCTTCAGGGTGAGGACCAGGGAGAACCTGAAATGTATGTTGTTTGCCAGTTTCTGTGGTGCAAACACTCTCATCACAGCAGATTTCAAGCTACTAACAAGACATCCCTGAACATGGAATGAGGGAGCGATATGCGGAATTGGCTCAGAAGCCAGTATGATCTGGCTCAGTTAACCACTACAACTGTAACTGTACATTATCCAAGACTTGCGGTTTCATTCCCAAGTATGATTTTGATGCCATGACTATCTATGTATGTATTTATTTAAAATATGTAACATGGGGCCGGCCGAATGGCGCGTTGGTTAAGAACTGGCTTGGGACGCCAGAGGGCCCTGGTTCGGATCCCACATATGAGGGCCAGTGACTCTGCCCTCTACAGCTAAGATGCTGAACAACAGCTCAACCTGGAGCTGGGCTGCCTTTGGTCACCGGCGATGGCGTAGGCTGCAGTCCCCTGCTGCAGTGGGCTGCCATAAACTACCATGCGTAGCCAGCAGCCAGCGTGAGCGGCCAGCAGCCACCATGAGCGGCCGTCCAGAGGCCAGCAACTGAAGTGAAGCAACGTCCTCCACAACTAGACTGAAGAACAAAAAACAACAGCAACTTGTCTGTTCCCCTTCCCCGATTCCCCAGCACTGTTCTCCTCCCCCAATTCCCCAACAAAATCTTTAAAAAAAAAAAAAAAGTAACATGTTTTTATTTATTTCGAACATGGCATAACTTGTGTCAATTTTTTACAATTTTTTTTTTCACTCAACCTTGTTTTTGAGATCTATAGCTTTACTTGGTTTAATTGTTGTTATGTAATATTCCATTGGGGGATATATTACTTTGCATCTTGCTGATTGCAGTAAAACTGAGAGCATCTTTCCTTGTTTGTTGGCCACTTAGATTTCCTCTGTGAATTCCTGGCTTATAGCCATTGCCCATTTATCTGTCATATTGTTGCAGAGGAGTTCTTGATGAATTCTGGCTAGTGATCTTTGTGGATTATGTGAGTTGCAAATCATCTCCTAGCATGAGGCTTGTCTTTTTTATTTAATTATGGTTTCTTTGAAAAGAAGTTGTATAATTCATTAGAATGACTACACCAAATAAATATACTCTTATAGTATATGGATTCTGTGTTGTGTTTAAAAAATTAACTCCTACGCTCAGTTCATAAATTTACTCTATTTTTTTCTACAAGTCTTAAAGTTTTGCTTTTTACATTATGTCCTTAATCTAACTAAAAATGATGGACGTATGGTATGTCAGGAAATCCAAATTCTTACTTTCATATGGCTAGCTGATGGTCCCATTACCCCTGGTGGAAAATACATCCTTTCTGTGCTGATTTGTCGTTCCACATCCCTTCCATGTATATATGGGTGTTTACATGTATATATGGGTGTGTCTCTGGGCTCTGTAGTCTGTCTTGTTGATCTGGTTTTCACCCCTGCACCATAGTATATTGTCTTAATTATTAAGCCTACATTGCTACTCTTCAACATTGGCTTAGCTTTTCTTGACTCTGCACTATCAAGTGATTTTGTTTTTATTAGTTTGTCAACTTCCATGAAGAACTCTGTTGGGATTTTTATTAAAATTATATTTAATTTAATAATTAATTTTGGCAGAATTGACATCTTTACAATATTGAGTCATCCCATCCATAAACATACATCTCTTTAATTAAGCCTTTTAAAAATGTCCTATAATAGTATTTTATACTTTCTCCATCACATTCATACATGTAACTTATAA